GGGGGGGGAAAAAAAAACAACAAAACCCACCACATTAAAACCCCACGATGCACTGAGATGCTTTTGATTCAACTCCTGGCCCCTACGGGGAGCTGGGATCTTCCCTTTGCAGAAGGACAAAGATGGGAAAAGAAAGCTGAGCTTCCCGAATAGCAGCAGGGCTTTGCAAGTGAAACAACAGCTCGCGGCGCCCGGCTGCAGCTGACAAACTCTAATCTCACCAATATTTCTTCCCCATCCATCTGTCTGCCTCCAGAAGCAAGCCCAGCAAGTGTTCTTGCAGGTTTTAGCACAGCTTTGGGGGGCGCAACCAGCCACGGGGTGGGGGGATTGGGAGATGGTTCATTCCCTGACCCCAGAGACAACCCCAACCAGCGAACAGCCCCGCGGTACCTGCCCCGAGCGGGGCATGCAGGTCAGCGCCAGCCTCAGCAGCCCCCATCTCCCCCCCTCCGCACCCCCAGGCAAAAATCTGCCTCCCATATGCCGGCGAGAGCCACATTCCCAAATAATGGAAAGCAGGTCGGCGGCAAAGCCGGGAGCGCGGGGGTGATGGCCGGGTGCCAGCGCCCGGCACGGCACAGCCCCAGGGGGCTACTCAGGGGCCAGTGGCATTGAGGTGGGGGCTAACGGGAGAGCAGCATGGCTGCCTCCCTCTTTTAACCTGCTCTTAGCTCCTCACCTGAGGTTTTGCCAGCCCCGTAGCCCAGACCAGTAGAGACAAGGCTAAGCCAAGCATCACAAGGCACTGGTTTAACCCACCACCACGTCTCTATTGACCAGGTTTGGGAAAAAACCCCTGTGCGTGGTCCAAACCTTGAGGAACTGGAGATGTTGTTGCAGCATCCAGAAGCTCCAGCAGAAGTCAGGGCTGTGCCTGGGGCAGGATAAACTTGGTCAAGGATAAACCTAGCCCAGGATAAACCTGGCCTAAAAGGCAAGGGAACGAGCCAGTGGGTGGAAAAAGGAACATGCCCAGGTGCCTGGCAAGGCAGGGCAGAGATGGGAAGGTCCCTGCATCTCAGGGTGTCCCCACCACCCCGCATGGGGTAGGGGACACAGGGGAGTGGGATGGGGGTGTCCTGGCACAGGTTGTCATGGGACAAGGCTGTCTGAGCAGTGACAGAGCCAGACTAGCCCCTGCAGCCACCTCACTCCAAACCACCCCTAATTTAATGCATCTGTGAGATATTCCACCTCCCTCACCTGGGAAGGAGGGACAGCACTGCCAGCAGGGACAGGCAGGAAAGGGAAAAGAGAGGGAAGTGAAAGTCCTTCCCGTCTTCTTCTTCTTCCCCCAATTTCCCCCAGGTGATTCTGTTTTGCTGCAGCTGGGTGCAAACCAAGGGAGGTGATGATGGGGCTTTACTTTAATGGATGTGGCCTTCCTGGAGGGAGCAGGGAGAGGTTAAACAAGCCCAGATGGATGCGTCTGGGGAGAGTTAGCAAGGAAGACAATGTGAGGGGGGATACAGCGGCCGGGGCAAGGCAGTGGTTTCCTCCAAGCATGTAAAATTCCTGTTGCTGTTGTTGAATCATCTCAGCAAGAGCCAGCGCAGAGGGTCTGGCACAGGGGGTGTGAGTTGTTGCCCAAAATACTCTGAGAAAACCCATCTCCAGCCCAGTAACACAAGAACGAGGGTGCGATGGGGCTGCCCAGGGAACTCTGAAGTAATCCCCCAGCCAGGTGAGCTGAGGAATAAATGCGGGAACACACATTGGTTTCCCCTCAAAGCTTCACTCGGATGCAAATTGCCGCTGGCTGGTAACTCCAGTGTCATTGCAGGCTCCTGTGCAGAGCCTGGCTTCTTCTGAAGCTGAAAAGAAGCCACCTGGGTATCGAGCAGTGTTTTTGTTCTGGCAAAGGGGCAGCAAAATGACACCTCAGAGCAAAGGGAAGGGAGCGGAGAGCCCAAGAATTGGCCAAATCCCTCTGATGGAGGCATCACAGCAGCTCCCCGAACGTCTACCCTGCTCCTGCGAAAGGCTTCAAGCTCTGCACGGCACCCTAACGCCGAGCAGTTTTGCAGGAAACTTGCCAACAGCTCATTTTCCTGGTCTTTTAATTATTTCCTTTATTTGAGTATGAAAGGGGAAGGGGTAGGGGAACGATTTACAAAGAACTGGAAGAAAGTGGTTGGGTTGGTTTCTTTCCAAATGCGGCTGAAGACAAAATCACCGCGAGCAGGAAAAAGCCTCCAAGGAGTCTGGAAGAATTGACTTTCTCCTGTTTCCAAGGGAGGATGGGGCAAACGAGGGAGATTTTAATTCCCAGGCAAACTGAAGATAAACTTCGGCCAGGACATTGTTGCTTCACAGGAGGCTTCCAGGGTCTCTTGCTCCCAGGGTGAGCATGGAAGCCCTCTCCTGGGAAAATTACACCATTTGGGTGCAAAACCAGGCTGAGGCCCAGACTGGAAGGATGGCAAAGAGGTTTTAATTCCCTTAAAAGCTGAGAAACCCCATGTAATTCACTCCCAGTTCATCAACTCCCCTTGGCCATTAGTTGATGACTCATTTTCCCCATCTGAAAAACAGAGTGAATATAAATCCTCCTCAGATACAAGCTCCTTGGTTAGTTTATTACTCATTTTAAAATAAATATTTTATTTATTTTTTTTTTAATCTCCGGCGTCTGGGTGTTGGAAATGTCTCTTTGTTTCAGAAGCAGAACAAAAAAAAATCAGAATAAAATTTTCATTAGATGCGAAATGAGACTCTTTGAACAAAGTGAGCAGAGTGCAGCCTCCGGTCCCGGCTGACAGTTACTGGAGTTTTGCAACGCGCGGTACAAAATTCTGGCGACCTTCAGCCGGGAGCAGAGGCCGCGCTCCGCTTTGCAAACCCGCCAGATTAAATACTCAGAAATACAGATTTCTGGTTTTTCTGACTAGAGGGGCCGGGCTGGGTGCCAGGCGAGCCGTGGGAAGGCAGCAAACAGCAGCCAGCTCCAGTGCACTGTCACTGACCCTCGTGCGTGATCTCCCTTTCCCATCCCTGGGCACATCCTTGTCCCCCATCAGTGGACAGATGCTGGGAAGGACCCGTTTTTGCAGTTTGTCCTCTAAAAACAAGCCAAGTCTTGGTGCAACCACATCTTTCCAGCTCCCTGCATCACTTCATGTCACTGGGATGGGTCGCCACCATGGCAGCCTCACGACAAAGCTCAACTCTTACTCATATTCATCAAGCTTGAAGAGTGAAAAAGAAATAATTAATGAGGATTTTATTCAGCTCCTGAGCGGAGAGAAAAGTCTCCCTCCCTGCAGGTCCAGCCTGTCTTTAAGCTCAAATCCATCCCACACAAATTCTCTTCTCCGTTTCCCTTGCTCTGCTCCATAGCTGGAAGGGTTTTGTTCCATCTCTAATTGCTTCAGACCTGCTTTTCAGCCTGAAATAATCAGGGCTTTCTGGAGAGATGCTTCAGCTCAGCCCTGGAAAGTACCCAAGGCAATGCACACACAACTGCAAGGTCAAAAAACCAGAGGCGTAAAAACAGTTGCAGATCTGTGGGCGGATAACCACCACCAGCCCCAGCCCCAGCCAAAACCTGAGCTGGGGTTTTCCAAAATACCCCGAGGGAAGCAGCATCCCGCCCACGTGCCTGGTGGCCGGTGGCCAGAGGCACCAAAACGGCATTTTTGGGCTAAAACCTGGTGTAACCTAAAGTACCTGCGCACTCCGATGAGGTGCTGGGTGAGGGGGAAGGTGGCTCCCCAGTGCCGGGGGGGAGCAGCATGGGCTGGGGGGGGTTTAAGCAGGATCAGTCAAAAAAGATTGTGGGAAAAGGGGTGAGGAGGGGAAGAAAGTCACCAGGCCCTGGCTGTGCCCATCTGAGCTGGGCATGGGACCCGCAGCCCCCCCCGAAAAGGGACCAACCCCCCCGCCCTGGCCAGGCTCTGGGCTCAGGGCTCCTTCCAGATGTTGTTCTACTTCCCCCCCTAGTTTTCTGCTCCTGCAAGGTGCTCGCAGGCACCCAGAGCTGCTGGAAGGGGAATGAAAAGCGAGGAGAGGTCCATGGGTGCCACGGCCCATAGCATCCCCGAGAGTGTGCTGGGGACGGGGGGGTGATGTGCTGCCACCCCCCAGCCCTGCTCTCCCAAGGGAGCCCCGGTTAAGGGACACGGGCTGGGCAAACAGCACAGTCCTGCTCTCCAGGGCTGGGTGAGAAACAGCTTTAGCCCCTTGGTTTGATTCGATCACAAGCCACACACTTCCAGGACCCCCCCACCGGGCAGGGCTGCCTGCACCACCCCAGGAAAGAGCCGCCAACCAACCCATTTCCTTCCCGAGAGCCTCGATTTTACACTTGAAGTGAAGGGATTGAAACATTTATGATTGAGCCCAGGCTAAAAGTTCCTGGGAATTGCCCGTGCAACCATGTGGATTTGTTCCCTGGCTTAAAAAAACCACAAACATAAACCCCCAAAGACACC